ATGCTCAGGAATGTGAACAGGTGTAATACCCAGAGGCTTTGTGGGGTTTTCAACAAGACTCTTTCCAGTGGTCAAATGCTTCCCAGTCATTTCTTTCATATTATTCAGTAGATCAATTTGAGAATTTGCAATATTAGCTTCAATTTGTGCCAACTTGCTCCTCAATTCTTCCTGCATCTCTTTTTGCTCTATCTCAAATTTGGCTAGCCTATCCTCAGTTTATTTAGACATTTTTCTTGTGTCGTGCTGAGCGTTCTTGCTACAAGGAATAACCAAGATTACTTCGGGTTGAAATCCTTATTTTAATGAATGAATGTTTTAATGCATGATGTAAGTTTGAAACTATAGATCTAACTATGCAAAGATGCAAATGAAAAAATGAAAAGGTAAATACAAACATAAAAATGCAAAAATGCGAATGCAAATGAAAATGAAAATGAAAATGCAATGAAAACGTAAAAGTACGAATGCAAAGTGAAAATGCAAATGCAACGAAGGTGTTAATCAAGAGTGATCATCTTTAAAACAGATTTGATTGAACACAAAAGTTTTGGTACATCAAACAAAACTTTACATATATGGGATAGCTTTCACTCCTAACTTCTCTAAAGCCAAGTTTGTTTCCCTTCCTGCTCAAAAGTTGAGTTCTCAATCTGCTTCAATTCCTTGTAAAGTCAGCTAAGTTTATCAATTTATGAGCCATATTGCATCTTTTTCCATGACATTGTCTTTTTCCTTCATCTTCTATGTCAACTGTCAGATTTGTAGGCAATGTTGCTCATTCTCCCTTGTGAGGGAATATTTATGGTTACAGATTTCTTGGACAATATCTTCATGTGTGTTATAGCTCTTTTTCAGTTTGGTGACCCCTGTTATCCACTCTTTTGGGGTGTTTCCTATGCCAATATTTTGAAAGGCTTGACTAATCCTTTGGAAATCCTCGCACATCGTGCTCATCTTTGTACTTAACTTCTTGTTTTCATCCTTCAAATAACATGCTTGAGCTTCATAAAAACCTCCTTTATTCTGAATACTCCTATTGATACTCTTACCATAAAATGCTTTTGGTATCAATCTAACAAGATCTTTGTGGAATACTTTCGGTATCAATCTAACAAGATATTTGTGTGCATAGCTCTTCTCTATCCTCAGAGTTCCTTCAGGATGCCATTCCCTAGTTGCGTCATGGTTTGCTTGACCATAAAACTTTTTGTCCATTTATGAATTCTTTCCAATTTGATGTCCACTCTCAAGAGTCAACACCTTCTGGTTATGTCATGATCATGCAATGCAAGCACAAGAAATCAATATAAACAAATTAGAGCAAAATACAATGCATAAAAAAATAAAAAAATAAAAAAATAAAAAAATAAAATGGTTAGTACCAATTAATGGAAAGAAAAAATTCTATTTATCAAGGTATAAATCCTAACCTCATGCTTTCTAGTTCCATGCTTTGTTTGGAAAAATTAACCTAACTGCATGATTTCTAGTTCGCAAGTATTTATTTAGGATAAAGAAAAAAAATCAAATAAATTAAAAAAAGTTAGAACTTATTTCTCCTTTGTGTACACCTATTTTGGATAAAATTTCGACATGGTTTTAGATAGGAGAATTTCTAGGGTTTTTGGTTCTAAGAGTAAGGTACTCAAACTGTCCTTGTTGGTGCCCCCTTGGGCTGCCAAACCCTCAATCTTGGTCCATTACAGACTTAAGCGGATCAAGTTCAATTCGAGGGGACACATTTCTCTATGCCTGACACGGAGAATAAATTCTCACGAAGATATAGAGCCTATGAACCCCGAAATTTGCTAGGTCTGACACGGAGAATAAATTCTCATGAAGACGTCGCTTTCACTCCCACTTAAAAGGGAAAAGAGCTCGAGTATAGAGGTTATGTTTATGCAATGCAAGTGTTGTGTGTGAGGGGAAATTTTCACACAAAAGTTAATATCTAAAAATACAAACATAAATATACAAGGGTATAAAATAAATTGAAAGAAATCAAAAGAATCATAAATTAAATAAAATTGGATTCTCAATTTCTAATTATAGAGACAATGTATAATCGACTTAGGTTGACCAGGGTCCCCAGCGGAGTCGCCAAGCTGTCGTAACCGGTTTTCGCCCGGTACGAATTTTTACTTGGCGGGAAAAATAATGTGGATAAATAAATGGTATTTTTAAAGAAATATTTTGGAGTCTCCATCGTCCTTTTGGGTTAGGTAGGTCGAATACATAAAAATCATCTTTTAAAAGAGTTTTTAAGAAAACATCAGTTAAAAGATAAATCGGTCTGCGTTTAACCAAAAAATCGTTCTTTTTAATAATAAAAAGGGATTCGTGGTCGGTTACGTTTGGGGAAGGATTAGCACCCCCACAACACCCAAAATTGGTCCCTGTCGATTATATATTGTCTCTAATAATAGAATTTAAGAATTCGAATATAAATTTAATTTATGATCTTTACATATTCAATTGGATAATAATAAGGAAGAAAAATATTAAAATAATTTTTATAAATTATAAATAAAGTATTTATTTATTTCAAAATATTAGAAAATGACTTCTAGTTGCTTTAAGACAATCCATTTCTTTAATATTAATAAATAAATAAATATTAATAAGAATATAATATTTTTTCTTAAAAATAATAAAAATGAAGTATATATATATATATATTTATTTATTTATTTATTTATTTATTTATAAGCATGATATTTATTTATTTTTAAAATACCATAATAGGACGTCTAGTTATTTTAAGACCGCCATTTCTTAATATTTAAAAATAAATAAATATTATTATTTAATTAATTTTAAAATTAATTAAATAATACTTATTAATCTTTCATATATATATACACACACATATTAATATGACTAAAATTAAATAAATATAAAATGAAGAAAAATATAATAATTTGAAAAATAACTATATATTTATTTGTTTTATAAATAAAATATTTATTTATTTAAAAATATCAGAATATAACTTCTAGTTAATTTAGGACAGTGCTATCTTAATATAAATAAATATTATTATTTAATTAAATATATTTTTATATGCTAAAATAAATAATATTTAAAGTATTAAATTAAAAATATAATAACAAAAATAAATTGTAATTAAATAGTGAATGAAATAAATAAATTTAAAACAATTGTATAAACACACTTAACGTTATATTAATAATAAAATACCATGTATAAATATAAGGAAAGCAATCTTTGCAAATAAATAGAATAAATACTAAAAGAAATTTATATTTTTATAAATAGCTATATAATAAAGTCAAATAGTATTAATGTATGTTATGATTTAAAATGGACGGAATGGAAAGTAAATTTAAGATGCAAAGAAAATTAAAGTAAGAAAAAAATAAAGTAAAAGATAAAAACATCAAGATTACAAGTAATTACGGAAAATGAAACATTAAACGTGAATTAATCTTTCATGAATAGCTAATTGACAACAAATTTGGGAAAGTATTTAAATAAAAAATAATTGAAATTAAAGCAAATAAATCATATTCATAAATATATAAAATTCATAGTCAAAATTGAGAATTATAAAAATTAGTGATTAATTTATAAAATATCAAAATTAATGGACATAATTAATAATATCATAAAATATAAATATTAACACTGTAATTTAGCCATAAAAAATTAATACAGATTAAAATAAAAATTACTAAAACTATAAGGGACTAAATAGGTTGTTTTACCCTAAATATTTATTAATACTAAATAGTGACTAAAATATAATAAAATAAAACTTGAAGACAAAATTAAAACTTCACAGATATTGATTTCAGTGATCAAAACATAACATTTACAAACTATAAATGACTGTGGAAAATATTTTACTATTTATAGAAATTATGCATGGGGTCCTTCCCCAAAACGACGTCGTTTTATGGAGGGATTTAAATATCCCCAAACCGGCCTAAAATGGCTATCACTCTTCTTTTTTTTTTTTTTTGCTTCTCTCTCATTAGAGATAAAAGCTCTCATTCTCTCTATTTTCCCCCGCCGGAGGGAAGGTCGACCAACGGCAACCACCGTACCCCGGTGATTCAGGCCACCGCCAACGGTGGTCGGCGACCAGAAAACATACCGAATTGAAGCTCTCCAAATCCACAACCCAAATGCAACCTTATTTACCCCTAAAAAACCCTTAATCGTTATAGATCTAAAAATAAAACGTATACTTTACCTTCGGTTATCTAAGTTTTCGGTGACGTTTGGCTTTCCTCGGTAGTAAGTCTCTTCCTCTCTTCTCTTTTTTTCTTTCGATTTACTGTTGTGGGTTGTTTTTTTTGTTCGTTGTTGCTTGCTGCCGTGTTCCTGGTTTTGGTTGTTGTTCGTTCGGTGTTGCTGTTGATTCTCGTTGCTATCGTTGTTTCTTCTTTTGCAGGTTCGGTGGCCTTATTTATAGGCCACCACTAACGCCATTCGGACCGGCCACAAAGAGTGACCCTAGATGAGTCACCAAACTATGGTGGTGACTCACCATAGAGTTGTAATGTGGGCGGTCGGCGTGGTACTTCTAGAGGCTTCGGTGAGGCATCGTGGCAGCGGGGCGTCAGCAGCTGGGGCGATTGCGTGGTAGCAGAGGAGGCGGCGACGTGGCCTTAGGGTTAACCCTAGGGCTCTTTCTGGCATATCTGTGGACCGTTGGATTAAGGCCAGATCCAACGGTTGAGAAGAAAGGCAACTGGGAGATGATGATGAAACCCTAGATTGGGTTTAGGGTTTTTGTTGGGCTTCCAGATCTGGGCCTCCATGTTTGGGCTCCGGATTAATAATTTGGGCTCCATATTGTGTTTTTATTTATTTTGGGCCTGTAATAATAATAATAATAATATTAATATTAATAATATTAACATTATTATTAATAATAATAACATTAGTAATAATAATATTATTATTATAATAATGATAATAATAATAAATAAATAATAATAATAACAAATAAATAAATAAACAAATGGGCAAAAAACTAATGTCTACACAGCCCTTCTTGTTGTGGTACTCTTCGGTGCTGCTATGGTCATTGGTGATGGTGTGCTCACTCCAGCAGTAGCAGGTAGAATTAACATGACTAACTGAAGATGAATATTACAAATGATTAAGTTATTACCTTTGTGGCTGTGCGTTTTAAAGTTCTAATACTTTTACTTTCCTGGAATTTCCTCTTGAGTCTTGAACATATTTGGCGCATAGGACTATTAAGGAAAAAATAAATATAAGCTAGCTTTTATCATGTTAATATGATTGTGGATGAAAGTTCTCAGCTTGAGAAGAAATTCAATGAAGAGCTCTGCTGATATTTTGCATATGAATAAAACAAGAGATTTCTATGAAAACCTTTGCTGGTACTTCATCTTTTATAGACACAGTTCAACAACAAGTTGATCCAAAACTAGAGTTTTTGGTTGAGCGAATCCTTTTCCTTGAAGTTGCTTGTCTGAACCATTTGCTAGACCACGCAATCATGTGGCAACTTCGCATGTCGTATTAGAATTTTTACAAAATAACAACTATGTTGAACGATTCAATGTGCCTATTTCTCGATTGGATTTAGTTGACCTCCAATGATTTAGTTATGAGGACCCATCATCAGAAATACTTTCACGACCATAGCAGTGCAATTGTGGATTTCCATATTTGCTCTTTTGTCAAGCGGTTGGATGAATCCTCCTGCCTATAGTATATATTGTTTGCGGTTTTGCTGTTTGACAATTTCAGATTCTGATATTCCAATGATTTTGTTGCTGTACTTGTGCCTTTTCATCCTTAATTGTCTGTGTTAATGATTTCTCCCTCTCAATGGTTAAGGGGTTAAATGTTTTTGCATTTGCAGTTCTTTCATCAGTTTCTGGGCTTCAAGTTACTGAAAAAAATTAACTAGTGGTAATTCAACTCTCAATTTTGGTCTTCTTTTCCTCTATTGTTTCTATTAGATTTTTTATTCACGATTTCTCACGATATGTTTTTTTCCCATATGGCTTAAAAACTTGGCTTTATTTTTGAACTTAGGTGCACTTGTCGTGCTTGCTTGTGTCATATTGGTCGGCCTATTTGCTCTGCAACATGTTGGTATGCACAGGGTAGCTTTTCTGTTTGCGCCGATCGTGATCATCCGGCTGATTTCAATTTTTTCCATTGGCTTGTACAACATAATACATTGGAACCCTAAGATTGTTCATGCAATTTCTCCGTATTATATTATTTCGGAACCGTCTTTCGGGTGGCCCTAGAATTGGGCTTCGACTTGGATTAAATGATTTGGAGTCCTCACCGACCACTTTAAAATGAATTTAGGTGGGTTGGACACCATCTTACATTATCTGCGTTGTACCAAAAACGTTTCAGGTTCGGGAGTCAGTTACGGTCAATGAAGGATTAGCACCCTTGAACCGCCCTTTCGGTACCAATTAATTTGTCGGTTGTCTATAATTAAAAAAATTGAAAATTTAAATTGAAATTTAAAAATTCGGTTCGAATTGCTTACCTTTGGTCGATTAGAATTTTTCTAAAAAAAGGGTCAAAAAATGTTAGAGAAAAAAAACTAGTAAATAAATATTAAGTAATTCCAAGAACAAAACAAAAGAGAAATAATAATAAATAAATAAATATAACACCAAAATAATAAATCAAAGAAAGAATAAATAAATAAATGAATAAAAAAGTCAAAAAGGGAAAAAGAATTTTGAATAAATAAAAAATTAAAGAGGGTAAAAAAAAGGAAAATCAAAATAAAAGGAATAAAAAGAATGAATAAAACAAAAACGTTAAATATTAAAGAATAAAAGAAAAAATGTTATGAAAATAACAAAAAGAAAAAAAAAGGAAAAATAATAATAAACAAAAAAAGGACCAAAATGAAGAAATAATAAATCTGAGATCCAAATTAAAGCATTGAATTCAATGACCAAAATATACGAGATGTAGCTTACAGGAACCGCATGTGTAGTTTGCCCACATGAGAAATCACGCAAATGCCCCCTACTGAAACTACGTTGTTTCACTAATTGTATAAAAAGCCCATATGAGAGGCATATATAACTCAACTCTCATTTTGCTCTCCCCCTCTCTCCACAAGAAAATGCTCTCACTTCTCTCTATAGCCATCCCCACCGATGGGAAGTCGGCCGCCCATTGTCGCCGTCCACAGTCACCGATGGCCGAAAAAACTTAAACCCCGCAAAACACTCCTCTCCAAACCGTGAACCTGAATCCGCCCCCTAAATCACCAAAACCAAACGCAGTAAACATAGATCTAAAAAAACTTTCGGCACCTACCCTTCTCTGGCGACCTTTCCGCTTCCGATGGCCCTTCGTGGCTTAGATCAGGGCTTCCTGCTTTTGTTTTTGATACTTGGCTGATGTTTGGTTTATTTTGCGTTTCTCTGATTTGTGTATAATGTTGTATGTTGGGATTTTTTTTGCCGTTGGTTTGTTGTGGTTTCGTGGTCTCACTGCTTTGTTCTCGTGGCTCACTGTTGATGACGTTCCATGGTTCTTTTGTCTATGTGATAGTTGGCTTACTGTGTTTTTTGTGTCCTTCGTTGATGGTCCTCGGTTTTCTATGTTTCAGGGTATTTATACCCTCTCGGCTGGTGAACGTTACCGAACCTCAAAAAATGGGTCAGTCCCATTTGGTGGCTCGATTTTCGGTCTGTGGGAGACTGGGTTGTTGTGACTCGATTCTTGCGAGATTTCAGGCTTCGAGCACCGGGGATCCTGGTTGGTGGACGTTTGGCCGTTATGCGCATGACTCCTCCCATGCGATGCTTCTCTGCTTGGATGAGTAAGCCCTAATTTAGGGGCTGGGCTAGGTTAGGCCCAACCCTAATTGGGTATCTAGACCCGCATACATTACCTCAACTTTGGACCTAAAAAGAAAAAGAAAAATGACAAGTAAATAAAATAAAATAATAATAATAATAATAATAATATAATAACATATATATATAGTATAAAAAAATTTATTTTAAAACTACATAATATATATAAAAATATTTACAAAATCATATATTATATATATTTTAAAATGTTTTCAAAACTATATATTATATATAATTTTCAAAATGTTTTTAAAAAAACTATATATTATATATTTTCAAAATGATTTTTTTAAAAACTATATATATATATATATTATTTTCTAAAATGTTTTAAAAACCATATATTGTATACGCATTTTCAAAAACCATTTGCAAACTATATAATATATAAATATATATATATATACATGTATAAAAATATGGACGAAAATTAGTGTCTACAGCTGCCCCTCTTTGTCCTTTTTCGTGGAACGAAAAACAGGACAAAGATAAAAAGACACAAATTTGCGTTCAGTGGAGTTGAAGAATAACTCCTTGTCGAATTGGGTTGCGGATGGCTCCTCCGTCGCGAAGTCGAGTCCATCTCGAAATGATATAGAATTGAAGCCGCAGTTCAGGATTTGAATCGGGATGTGACTTTTCGTTGCACTTCGGTCGTCTCCTTGGTTTAAAGACCTTGGTTGGAAATTCGACTGGAAAATAATTCTTTGACTCCACCATGTAGTTGATAGGCCCTCGAGCTGAATGAAACTGAACTCGAAATGTCTTCGTTGACAGATAGCTTTTCTCGACTTAAGCTATGCTGCCGGAAAATGATTTCTTGTCACTAAAGCACAGTTAACCCAGATCTTCTTGACTTTGAAAACCATGATTGCAACCGAACAGTAGTGTGATTGAGGTGTCATTAAGCTAATTGGAATCAAACTCAACAATTTTATTAACATATAGCCCTTCTTGCCTTGGGCTATTCTGTAAATTTGGTTTGCCTCTGAGCTGAGTGTAATCGAACTCAAAGGTCTTCGGTTGGCATATAGCTCTTTTCGACTTAAGCTATGATGCAAATGATGTGCGTTGGATCTTAGCGTAGTAAAACTCAAAAGTCTTTGGTGACAGATAACCCTTTTAGCCTTGAGTTATGTTGTAAATGATGTGCCCTCGAAGTTGAGTGTAATCGAACTTGAGGGTCTTAGGCATATAGAACTTCTCGACTTAGGCTATGCTGAAAATGATGTGCCTTGGAGCTGAGCGTAGTCGAACTCAAAGGTCTTTGGTGACAGATAACCCTTTTAGCATTGAGTTATATTGTAAATGATATGCCCTCGAAGTTGAGTGTAATCGAACTTGAGGGTCTTTGACAGATAGCTCTTTTCGACTTAGGCTATGATGCAAATAATGTGCTTTGGAGCTGAGCGTAGTCAAACTCGAAGGTCTTTGGTTGGCAGATAATCCTTCTCGACTTAAGTTATGCTGCAAATGATATGCCTTGGAGCTGAGCGTAGTCAAACTCGAAGGTCTTTTGGTCACATATAACCCTTCTAGCCTTGAGTTATGCTGTAAATGATGTGCCCTTGAAGCTGAGTGTAATCGAACTCGAGGGTCTTTGGCAGAGAGCCCTCCTCGACTTAAGCTATGCTGCAAATGATGTGCCTTGGAGCTGAGCGTAGTCAAACTCAAAGGTCTTTGGTTGGTAGATAACCCTTCTCGACTTAAGTTATGCTGTAAATGATATGCCTTAGAGTTGAGCATAGTCGAACTCAAAGGTCTTTTGGTGACAGATAACCCTTCTAGCCTTGAGTTATGTTGTAAATGATGTGCCCTCGAAGCTGAGTATAATCGAACTCGAGGGTCTTTGGCAGATAGCCCTTCTCGAATTAAGTTATGCTAAATGATGTGCCTTAGAGCTGAGTGTAGTCAAACTCGAAGGTCTTTGGGTTGCAGATAACCCTTCACGACTTAAGTTATGATGCAAATGATATGCCTTAGAGCTGAGCGTAGTCAAACTCGAAGGTCTTTTGATGACAGATAACCCTTCTAGCCTTGAGTTATGTTGTAAATGATGTACCCTCGAAGCTGAGTATAATCGAACTCGAAGGTCTTCGGTTGGCAGATAGCCCTACTCGACTTAAGCTATGCTGCAAATGATGTGCCTTGGAGCTGAGCGTAGTCAAACCCGAAGGTCTTTTGTTGGCATACAACCCTTCTAGACTTAAGTTGTGCTACAAATGATATGCCTTGGAGCTTAGGGTAGTCGAACTCGAAGGTATTTTGGTGACAGATAACCCTTCTAGCCTTGAGTTATGCTGTAAATGATGTGCCCTTGAAACTGAGTGTAATCGAACTTGGGGGTCTTTGGCAGATAACCCTTCTAGCCTTGAGCTATATCATAAATGATGTGCCGTTGAGCTGAGCGTAATCGAACTCAAAGGTCTTTGTTGGCAGATAACCCTCCTCAACTTAAGTTATGTTGCAAATGATATGCCTTAAAGCTGAGCGTAGTCGAACTCGAAGGTCTTTGGCATATAGCCTTTCTAGCCTTGAGCTATACCACAAATGATGTGTTGTTGAGTTGAGCGTAATCGAACTAAAAAGTCTTTGTTGGAAGATAACCCTCCTCGACTTAAGTTATGCTGCAAATGATATGCCTTAGAGCTGAGCGTAGTCGAACTCGAAGGTCTTTTGGTGACAGATAACCTTATAGCCTTGAGTTATGTTGTAAATGATATGCCCTTGAAATTGAGTGTAATCGAACTCGAGGGTCTTTGGCAGATAGCCCTTCGCTACTTAAGCTATGCTACAAATGTTGTCTTAAAAAATGGCTTCCCTTCGCAAGTCTAAGCCGGTCATAGTTCTTCAGGTGGTTCATCTGAGCGGGTCTGAACCAAATGAGACGATCTCTGAATGACTCCCCTTTTACAGAAAACCCACTGATAAATTTTGACATCCGGATATCTTCCTTTGTGGAATTGAAATCTGGCTTGAAGACATTAACTGGAAATATGATGCTCATTGTTGAGTTGAGCTGAACTGGATTTATTCTGATAATGCTGATATCTGTAGATATGTCATGTCGATTGAGGTATAGCTTCTCACTGCTGAGTTAAGCAACCATCATCGTTCTTTAAAGGCGCTTGTGAATCGAGTATCCTTCATCCTGAATTCGAAACTTGACTCTAAAAGCTGCAAAAATCATGTATGCTGAAATGATGAATGTTATGCACCTAAGTATGTCTAAGATGCATGCACCATGAATGAATTATGTGTTATTTCTCGAATGGAGTCTCGTGCTTTGTCTTCCAATCTGGTCTTTGGAATCAATCGTGCCCCATTATCATTTCGAGCTTTGACTTTACAGACCTTTCAAATATGAGACTGTTCT